AAATTAGCTGGGCGTGGTGGCGCATGCCTGTAATCCCAGCTGCTTAGGAGGCTGAGGCAGGAGAATTGCTTGAATCTGGGAAGCAGAAGTTGTGTGACTTGAGATCTCGCTACTGTATTCCAGCCTGGGTAACAGAGCAAGACTCCATCTTGAAAAAAAAAAAGACAAGACAAGATGTGGGACCAAGTGATGTTACTCAAGGACAGGCTGTATTGCTAGGGAATGATCCCCTAGATACTTTGTATAGACAAAATTAAGGTTCTGAACAGTACGTCCCATATAGTTTGCTACTTTTATGTATAAAAAATGAAGGAAGGATGAAAATAGATATTTTCATCAGGAGACAAGAGTCATATACCAAACTAGTAACGCTGGTTCTTTGTTTTTGTGGGAGTATCTAGTAGTATTTTGTTTGATTTATATTGAAAAATGGGCTGGTTTTTCTCCTGTTTGTCTCCTTTGTCCCTTCCTTGTAAGGTGACCTGTTACACTGATTCTGTCGACGCCTCCCCATGACACTAATGACAGTAGCCAACGCTTAGTGTCCATACCATGCCAGGCACTGTCATAGATGCTCTGCCTGCACTGGCTCATTTTAGCAAAGGAATGAGGGACAAGGACAGCGAGAGACTTATATCTGTTGTGCATTTTACATTTGAGCTGTATATTACCTGTCAAAATTAATTGTTTTTCTGATTAGTTCCTGCCCCACCTGGTGGTTGTGGGAATTCAATGAGAGTCCATGTGAAGGGCAGGCTCTCCTTCAGGGTCACCTCTGAATCACGCTGAAGCCTGGCATGCCTTCTGTCAGGCAGGGTAGGGATGGGCCCTTTTGGATTCCAGTGTGAGGCAGCCCATCCTGGTGGTATTTCCCACCTACCCAGCTGAGTAGGCTGAGACCATAGCCACAGCCTCTTCCCGCTTTGCAGGCTCTCCACCAGCATCTCCTCTTACCATCTCTTTGCCTCCTGTTTCTGAGGAAACAAGGCCATTTCTGCCCATGTTTAAGCTTTGAGGTTGGCCCAGTGCACTCCAGGTGGCTGCTGACATCCTGGGCGTTCATGGTTCCTTTACCTCCCCTTCCACGTCCTCCCAGCACTGGTCTTCCTCCTGTTGGCTTTTTGGCCCCCAGCCCTGTCCTGCCAGGGCTCCCAGCACCAGCTCTTGCTGACACACCTAGGCTGAGGGTGGTGTCCCTCCCTTGTTCCTGAACCTCCTTGTATTGGAACGGTCTGTTTGCAGATTCAGTTCCCAAATCATCCCTCCCTGAGTACTCAGCCTGTGCTCCCTCGCCTGCCTGCCTGCCGCCTGGCTCTCGCTGTTATGTGTGCACATGCTGTGTTACACCTGCCCTACCACTGTTACCCACTGAGCTTTCCACAGCTTCCCTCCGTCACCACGTCAGCATAACCCAGGCCAGCCTGAGGAGAGTTGCTAATCTTTCTCTCTGGTCACTGGCCATCCTTGGAACAAGAAGCCCCCATCTGTTCCACAGCCTGGGTGTGGTTTCTGTGCTTTGACAGGGGCCTAGCCTGGGCAGCATGGTGAAACCACCGCGTCTCTACAAAAAAATACAAAAATTAGCCAGGTGTGGTGGCATGTGCCTGTAGTCCCAGCTGCTCAGGAGGCTGAGGTGGGAGGATCACCTGAGCCCAGGGAGGTCGAGGCTGCAGTGAGCTGAGATCACGCCACTGTACTCCAGCCTGGGTGACAGAGTGAGACCCTGTCTCAAAAAAAAAGAAAAAAAAAAAGAGTCCTGCCTCCTCTGCCAGACAGAGCCAAGCATCTTTGGGGGCATTCTTCCAGTGCTCAGCCAAGGCCTGGGCATGCCCTGACTTGCTGTTCTCTGATAGAGCAGCCCTGAACTGCTTGCTGAAGGGACCACTGCAACAACAGAACCACTGTGGGCCTGTGTGCAGGGAGGGCCCCGCCAGGCCTCTTACCCGGTGGGGTTGGGCTAAAAGGGTGAAAAGGCGACTTAGGCAGGACCGAAGCCTTGATTGGACCCCGGACCTATGTTAACCCTCCTAGGTGCCTGCTAGTGAGGAAGGCACCACTCACCATGAAAGCAGAGGGAAAATGGTGTACTTCTGCGTCCCCTTTGGAAAGGTCTGGGGCCAGGGAAAAGCCGGAGCTCAGGGCTCCTCTGAGGAAGTAGCCACCATTTGTTTCCTTTTTTCTTTGGCCAAAAATATGTTTGCCTTAATTGTTAAAGAGCAGGGTTTCCTGTACAGAGATGTAGAAGATTTATATTTTTGTCTCCCCTCCCCTGTTTTGTAGGAAGCTGAAGTCTTCAGCAGAACCCTGACCTAAGGAGTCTCAATGGCCCTGGGTGAAGAAAAGGCAGAAGTGGAAGCATCTGAAGGCACAGGCTGTGGGGAGCAGGAGGTGGACACCCCAGGCCCCATGAGCGGGGAGCAGCCTCCACGCCTGGAAGCTGAGGGAGGGCTTATCTCCCCTGTATGGGAAGCAGAGGGGATACCTGCCTCTGCTTGCTGGGTCGGGACTGACCCTGGCGGCCCCTCAAGAGCCCACCAGCCACAGGCCTGTGACGCCAGCAGACAGCTCGTAGCTGAGAGGCCTGAGCCTGCACTTGGTAGCCTGCCTCCTGCCACCATGGGGTCTGGAGACCTTCTGCTCTCTGGGGAAAGCCAGGTATGTACTAAGGCAAGACTGTACATGTACCCATCTTGCTGTACTTTGGGAGTTAGTTTCAGCATTTCCTCGCCATCTTGCTTCCTTTCCCGGCCATTGTGCAGGGTCAGGAATTGGAGGGGCCTGAGTATGATGATTTCTGTTTTGTGGGTTCGCCTGGAGAGCTGGGCCTCAGGACCAGCCGGGGGCACTGTCCACGGCATCTTATATTCCTCAAGAGTGACTGGTGACTTTTTGAGGACCAGGGATTGTACAGCCAAGAGGCTGCTGTTCAGACGGCTAGGCCAGCAAAATTCTGGCATGGGGAACCCTGTCCTGTTTCTGACTTGGTGATCTAAAGGTTTTAGGGGTACCCTGAGGATACTTGGGAAAGGAGGGTCCAGTGCTTTGGGCTCCTGGGGACTCTGAACCTAAATCCTCTTCGGACCCAAGGGATGTGTCCGAATCTTGGAGCCCTGTGGTAGGCAGCAGGGTCCCTGGTTAAAGAGAATTCCTTGGGCTTCTCTGACTACTAGGCAGCTTCTCCTAGTGGGAGTCACATGGGGCAGGGAATCCTACCAGGTTCTGTGACCACAGGCAAATCACCAGCTCTTTCAGGCCCTCATTATCTTTGGGAGATGACCTGAGTGATCTGTTCCACCCAGCTCTTACATTTTTTTATGTTCTGCTTGCCAAGGTCTTTTCTGGGAATGGCTTTGATCTTCTCCATGTCATTGTGGCTTCGGCTGCTGCAGAGTCCCCTTGTGGAGCTGCATCCTGTGAGGAGGCTCTGAGCGGGACCTGGGGAGAGCAGAGGCTGGGCCCCACCTGCCTGGGAGCAAGCGGCAGTGGGAGGCTTTGGCACCTGTGAGTCAGAGATTCGGTGAGACAGGAAGAGAAGTATAAACAGACATAGAAGTGGCCTTTCACGAGGATGAGTCTGGTGCTTATTATTAGAATTCCTGTTATTTGTTAAGCTCTTACCATGCGTTTTTCATACATGAGTGTATTTAATCCTTACCTTCTGAGGAGCTGGTGCTGTGAGGGGAGGAAAGTGAGGCTCAAAGTCTTACATCTGGAAGGTGGCAGAGTTAGAGGTGGGCCTCAGGTCTGTCCATCACCACTGTGCTGTCCTGCTCCCCTCGGGGTTGAGTTCTTCATCAAGCAGATAAAAAATTCAGTGAAGAAGCTGAAGCGAACGAGTCATTCTGCCAGATGCATGTGAACTGAGCAGGATGGGGCCTGGGGGGACCTCCTGGGTTTGGACGTGTCCTGTTAGCAACAGTGATTGAGGGTTTCGTCTGCCAGGAGATGCTTCTCAGAGGTAAGGGACTGTATTCCAGCTTCAGCGTGACAGAGCCATCCGAGTTCTGCTGGCTCACACCCTGGGTATCTGTGGAGGAAAACCTTGGAGAGGACTGGAGATGGGGGTCACCTTGCTTCCCAAACAGGCAGGGCCTCGGTGCTGCTGCTGGCAGTGCACACTGTCTGGTTCTTGCCTCAGGCAGCAGACTTTTCATTTTAAGGTCTTTCCTAAATACTGTCTTGACCCATAAGGAAACTCCTGGGCTGCTGTCTCAGAAAGAAATCGGGTTTGGTTATTTTCACCCAAGTGCTTTTTGTCCCTTTGATCATTGCAGGTGGAGAAGACCAAGCTTTCTGCCTCCAAGGAGCTCCCTCAGACTCTGAGCCTTCCCAGAACGACAGCTATTTGCTCAGGACATGATGCTGATACCGAAGATGATCCATCCCCAGTGGATTCGCCCCAGGCACTGGACCTCAGCCAGCAGCCTCACGGCTCAGGCTTCTCTTGCCTGTCGCAGTGGAAGTCCGTGCTGAGCCCAGGTTCCGCTATACCTCAGCCTTCCAGCTGCAGCGTCTCTGCCTCCTCCGCAGGAAGCAGTCTCCAGGGTCAACAAGAGAAGGCGGAGCCTCGTGGTTCTTCTCTGGCCAACATCTCCTCCCGGGAACTGGTCGTCCCCCAGGAACCCTCCTCTATGGTGGGGCTAGGACGTCAGCCTCAGTGGTCACCACAGCCTGTGTTCTCTGGGGGTGATGCTCCTGGGCTAGGCAGGAGACGCCTCTCCTTCCAGGCTGAGTACTGGGCCTGTGTGCTGCCAGATTCCCTGCCTCCATCACCCGACCGCCACTCTCCTCTCTGGAACCCAAATAAAGAGTATGAAGATCTGCTTGACTATACTTACCCACTGAGGCCCGGGCCTCAGCTTCCAAAGCACCTTGATAGCCGTGTGCTGGCTGACCCTGTCCTGCAGGACTCGGGGGTAGACCTGGATAGCTTCTCTGTCTCTCCAGCAAGCACCCTCAAATCACCTACTAATGTCTCCCCCAACTGCCCACCAGCAGAGGCCACTGCCCTGCCATTTTCTGGGCCCAGAGAGCCAAGCCTTAAGCGGTGGCCCTCTGGAGTACCCCAGAAACAAGGTGGCATGGGCTTGTCATCTTTGAACCAACTTGCATCTACCCCCAGAGCCCCAGGCAGTAGGGATGCTTCTTGGGAGAGCAGAGAGCCAGCCATGAGGGGCACAAAGGACTGGTTGCCTGTGGGCAAGCACCTTGATACAGGCTCTCCCCAACTAAGGACACGGGACAGAGGGTGGCCCTCGCCCAGACCAGAGAGAGAGAAGAGGACCAGCCAGAGTGCCCGGCGCCCTACCTGCACAGAGTCTAGGCAGAAATCAGAAGAGGAAGTGGAAAGTGACGATGAGTATCTTGCCCTGCCCGCTCGGCTGACACAGGTTTCTAGCCTGGTTTCGTATCTAGACTCCATTTCTACCTTGGTTACCCTGCCTATAGGGGATACCAAGGGGCAGATTCCCCTGGAAGTGTCGGACAGTGATGGGCCAGCTTCCCTCCCTTCAAGCTCCAGCCAAAGCCAGCTTCCCCCTGGAGCTGCCCTCCGAGGGTCTGGGGATCCTGAGGGCCAGAACTCCTGTTTCCTGCACACCTTCATCCATGCCCAGGACTCTGCAAGGGAAGGCAGTCTGGGGAGCAGCCAGGCCCTTGGGGTCTCCTCTGGACTGCTGAAAACACGCCCCTCCTTGCCAGCTAGGTTGGACCGGTGGCCATTCTCAGACTCAGAAGCTGAAGGGCAGCGTCCCAGGAAAGGAGAACAGGGAAAAGAATCACTGGTGCAATGTGTAAAGGTAACGATGCTCAACATTAGGAGGCTTTGTGTACAGGTGTCTTGTCTCTTCCCCCAGTCCACTAACTTCATAAAACTTGTTAGAGTTGACCAGGCACTTTTTATGTGCCAGGCATTGTGCTGCACCTTATCTTAGTCCTCACGACTCTTACCAGGTGAGCACTACTCTCATTTTACCGTTTGGAGAAAAGATCAGAGAGAGGTTAGGTAACATGCCCTCTTATAATTAGAAAGGGCTCGAGCCAGGAATCAGACCCAGGTAGACTGTGTGCAGAGACTGAGCTCTTTCCCCCCACCCCCGAGACAGTCTTGCTTGTCACCCAGGCTGGAGTACAATGGCGCCGTCTTGGCTTACTGCAACCTCTACCTCCTGGGTTCAAGCGATTCTCTTGACTCCCGCGTAGCTGGGACTACAGGTGCACACCACCATACCTGGCTAATTTTTAGTATTTTTAGTTGAGACAAGGTTTCACTATGTTGGCCAGGCTAGTCCCAAACTCCTGACCTCGTGATCCACCCGCCTCAGCCTCCCAAAGTGCTGGGATTACAGGCGTGAGCCACTGAACCTGGCCAGAGGCTGAGCTCTTCACACTACCCTTAGCTGCTTCCTACCTTAGGTATTCTGAGCAAAAAGGGTTCTGTGCACAGATGCCTTTAGGAAGCACTGGGCTGAACAAAGGTAAGTGGCTGTCTTGACTGCAGGACTGCTCAGAGCTTCCTTTGCCAAAGTGGTGTAAGTACAAAGTTAGGGGCATAGATGTACTGTTTCCTAGACATTGTGGCCATTGGACCTTCTTTTGTGGACCAAATATCTTAACTGGAAGTATAATGAACACGGCGTGGAATGGGGGTATCGGGATCAGGCATCTGAAACATGGCACTGCTGTCTTTGGAATGTTGGCTCAGTGTCTTCAGTTTGCTTGGTTGTAAAATGTGGAGCCCTGCCTTCTTGGGATGTTGTGTGCATTCAGTAATTCATGTTGAGGGCTTCATGCACTCCCAGACACATGCTGAAGGTTCAGAAATGTGCCTGTCCAGGAACGTGTCCTTGCGCTCGAGAAAGGCTTTCACCTTCCGGGGAGGTGATATGGGTTATTTTGTCTTGTGAAGTAGGTACAACACATTATCATGGGCCCTTCTTTACTGATAAAAGATTGAGATGCCGTGAGGTAAAGTTGTTCTTGCTATAGCTTCAGGTTAGTCATGATTTTAGTCATATATTTTACATTCACTTTTCCAGAGAAACATGGATGTATTTGGCTCCAAGATGCTGATTATAGTTAGTAATGGTGCTGATCCAAGAACTGGTTTCCATGGCAGGCGTGCCTCTTCTGGCCTGCACCATTCCCACCTGCAGTGCTGGGTTTTCTCAGCCTATCATTTTTGGTGTCACACCAGGCTGTGGTTTTCATTGCTCTGGCAGAGGGAGGTCTAGAGTTGTGGAGTGGGGACAGGTGGGGAAGGAGGAGGGAGGAGAGTAATGTCTCAGTGAGCAAAAGCTCTGGAAAGGGGCACATTCCTCCCAGGAGTCCTCTTTATATTTGTAGCCTTTTGATAACATAAATAGCTGTTCAGTCAGTAACACCGTGTGTTTTTATTTGTCTCTGCAGACATTTTGCTGTCAGCTGGAAGAGCTGATCTGCTGGCTGTATAACGTCGCAGACGTTACCGACCACAGGATTACAGCCAAGTCCAATCTTACAGGTCTCAAGTCTTCTCTGCAGCTTTACCGGGTAATACGCAGTCCTGGCTCACTTGTTCCCTCATGAGAGTGGTAGCTAAATTACTCGATTACAAAGTAAAATCGTAAATAACCAGTGTCTGCTGTTACAGCTCAGTTGACTGTTAAACCTGAAATCTCATTAGAGCTTCATGTTCTTCAAGCAGAACACTTTGTAAAATGCATGAATTATTTCCCAGGCCAAATAGAGCTTGAAGATACAATATATTTATCTCAAATCATTCAAACACTTCAGTTTTGGGCTGGCAGGTGCAGTGGCACAAGTCTGTTATATCCCAGCTACTCTGGAAGCTGAGGCAGCAAGATTGCTTGAGCCCAGGGGTTTTGAGAACAGCCTGAGCAACATAGCAAGACCCCTCCATCTCCAAAAAAAATTTTTCTTAATTAAAAATAGAAACAAAATACTTTAGGGTGATTTGCAGTATAATTTTCCAAATGTCTCAGGGATTATAAAGACAGACTTGCACTATTAGGAAGCCTCTAGGTATATATGGCTACTGAAGTAAAATTAAAGACTCAGATGTTTTATTTGCACTGACCGCATCTGCACGCCCAACCATCACATTTGTCTAGTGGCTACCACATTGAACAGTGCAGATACAGAACACTTCCATCATCACATAAAGTTCTGTTGGACTGCACCGCTATTTAAAGATCTGGGCTGAAATTGTACTGACTCCAGAATCTACAATAGGGCATTTTGATGGAATTTAAATAGAAATCTAGGCCAGGCACTGTGGCTGACACTGTTAATCCCAGCACTTTGGGATGCTGAGGTGGGAGCATCGCTTGAGCCCGGGAGTTCCAGACCAGCCTGGGCAATATAGTGAGACCTTGTCTCTACAAAAAAAAAAAAAAAAAAAAACCATAAATTAGCTGAGCGTGGGGGCATGCACCAGCGGGAGGATCATTGGAACCCGGCAGGCGGAGGCTGCAGTGAGCCAGGGTATACTCCCCTGGGCAGCAGAGTGAGACCGTCTCAAAAAAAAAAAAAAAAAAAATCTGACATCAGTTTGCATGTGTGTGGGTGTCTATTTGGGTGTGGTTTTAGTTTTCTTGTCTCTTTTTCATTAAGGTTTTGTGGTTTTGAAAATACTTCTGTGGATTTTTGTTAACTGGGTCCTAGATTTAGGATGGCTCTGTGTCCTAGTTTGTGCCTGTTCTGGCATAATAATAAGTCCCCTTTCAGTCTCTGAAGTATCCTGAATTGGAGGATAAATTATATAGTTGTCATCCCTAAGTCTGATGTTAACCTTGTCTGAACACCTCTCTTCTAGCCTATCTGGTTGGCTGTACCTTTCTAATCTCTTCATGAAGCAGCAGAGGGATATTCATGGTCTGAGCCTGAGGCTAGTCTGGAAGGAGTTTTCTAGAACAATTATTTGAATTTCTACAACCCTGCAACCTGACCGTATCTTCTGCAGCGGCAGATGTGATTTACATATGCATGGGCCAGGGCTGAGCTGACTCAGGGCCTTGCTGGACCCTACTCCAGCTAGAGGGAGGGAGGGCTTTGTTTTCCAGCTTTGGGCCAACTAAAGTTTAGGGGAGGAGCCTTGCTTGACCTGGGCAGGCTGGGCCAGCTGCCCCACCCTCGTGGGAATGCTGTTTCCTGCAGGGTGGAGAGAGGTTGCTGTGAGTTCCTCACTCTGAGGAACTCCATACTGAGTTCCTCTCCACCCTGCAGGAAATAGCATTCCCACTCGGGTGGAGTGATTTGGAGGAAGGAGAGAAAGGCTAATTCCGAGGGTCCTGTATGCAGACTCCACGTGCATGTACACAGCTGTGCTGGGTCCAGGACCAGTACCACTACAGGGAGAGGAAGCTGCCCTGGTAGACATAGCAAACTGGCTTTTCCTGGCCCGTCGGAGCAGGTACAGAATAACTCCATTCCCTCCATCTTTTCCCTCCTGCTGTCCTTCTGTATCTCAGCTTCCAGGCTAGACAGAAACAACCATCTTGCTTTGTAAGTAGAGCTGAGATTTGAGCTGGGAGTCACTCCTGCAGGTCAGTGAGGCATAGGCCTTTTGTGTCACCCATACAACTGTCACAAAGGGAATTGTGCACGGCTCATGCGTATGTATGTGCTACCTTAACTTCTGTTTGGATTAAGACCTAGTGCAAGTGTGTGTGTGTTTGTGTTAACATTTTTTTTTTTTGAGACAGTCTTGCTCTGTCGCCAGGCTGGAGTGTGTGGCATGATCTCGGCTCACTGCAACCTCCGCCTCCCAGGTTCAAGCGATTCTCCTGCCTCAACCTCCTAAGTAGCTGGGATTACAGGCACATGCCACCACACCCAGCTGATTTTTGTATTTTTAGTAGAGATGGGGTTTTACCATATTCGCCAGGATGGTCTCTGTCTCTTGACCTCGTGATCTGCCCACCTCAGCCTCCCAAAGTGCTGGGAGGTAGGAGCCACCAGGCCTGGCCACATATTCACATATCTTAACTGTGAATCATTTTCTCATATAGTTGTGTTTTGTCTTAACACAGTGAGGTTGCAGCAGCACATAAACCACACTACAGTACCAGAGAAGAAAATAATAAGTATAGGTATCAGGGTAAAGGAAAACCAAAGACATGAAAATAGTCAATCCAAGAGTAAAACTGTCACTTCAAAATGGTAAAACACCAAATTCTGGTGGGACATGGTGGCTTATACCTCTAATTCCAGTACTTTGGGAGGCTGAGGCAGGTGCATCATCACTGAGTTCAGGGGTTTGAGATCAGCCTGGGCAAAATATTGAGACCCTTCTCTATTTCTATTAAACTTTTTAAAAATTATAAAAATCAGTCACCAAGTTCTGGGCCCTGCACTAAAAGGTGGTCACGGATTTGACTTTACACTTCTTAACTGCTAAAGGAACATCAAGAACACCAGCTTGGTAGCCACAAGGAGAAAACAGATGAGTTCCTTGGGAAACTCACAGCTTCCCAGATGTTGAGGTAGTTACCCTGACAGCCTGCATAGAGCGAGGACGAAGGAGGAGCAGAGGTGGAGGCAGTGGCTCCCTACAGTCAGTTTAATGGAAGATCTCTTGTGGTTCCGACTTACCAGGTCCATTAGAATAGAATAAATTTTGAGACTCCCATATCCCTGTGAGTTAGAGAAGCCCATGAGGTGAGGGTACTGGAAGGAGACCCTAACTCCAAGCTGTTTGTGAGCCAGCCTCTGCCAGAGAAGACGCTTCTGATGTCAAACTAAACAGGAAAAACTATTGACTCCATTTAGCTTGGGCTCAAAGAAGCTGAAGTGAAACTATTGCACTGTTTACTTGGGGAATTCTGCAGACCTGTGGGGGTGAATCTTAATACATTAGAGGGAATCAGGCTACTTTGCATGCTGTTCTTTTTGAATAACTTTCATAAAACAATAGTAACGAAGCTTCTTCCTTTTCTTTTTCTGATATGCCTTAAGCAATTTAAGAAAGATATAGATGAACATCAGTCTCTGACGGAGAGTGTCTTACAGAAGGGGGAGATTCTTCTTCAGTGCCTGTTGGAGAATACCCCAGGTGAGATGCTTAAGGTTTGGATTTAGCCAGAGCTTAATCCCTGTCAGCAGCAGGCCCAGGGACCACAGTCCCTGGTAAGGAGCTGGTACTGCAAGAGCCCCTGCCCACACCCACTGCTTGAGATGCCCCATGCCCCACCGTCTGCCAGCTCCACACATCGCTGCCCATCACTACCCCTACACACCTGCTTAGAGGCAGTCATGGTCATAAAACCAAGCTCATTAGCAGTTAGGCATTGAGCCTGCAAGAATGACACTGTCTTTTGCTTCTGCTTTTCCATTTTTCTGGAGGTGGTCTGGGTAGGAATCCTGGTTTTATTCCACCAGCCCTTAGTTTGAGGCTAGGGTATTCAGCGGGTATCCCTCGGGTTCCCCACCTTACCTACCCCACGTGGAATTCCTCTCTGGTTATCTGCCTTGTGACTTGCTTTGGGGAAAGATTTGTTTCAGAAAAGGATTGTTTGCTTAAAAGTATTCGAGGACAGTCAGTCTGTCCTCAGGGAACAGACTGAATAAAGAACTGAGAAGAGGGGACAGTGTGGCAGTAGTATACAAACCAAGCTCAGGCCCCCCCCACCCCTTTTTTTTGAGATGGAGTTTTGCTCTTGTTACCCAGGCTGGAGTACAATGGCATGATCTTGGCTCACCACAACCTCTGCTTCCCAGGTTCAAGCCATTCTCCTGCCTCAGCCTCCCGAGTAGCTGGGATTACATGCATGCACCACCACACCTAATTTCGTACTTTCAGTAGAGATGGGGTTTCTCCATGTTAATCAGGCTTGTCTCGAACTCCAGACCTCAGGTCATCAGCCCGCCTTGGCCTCTCAAAGTGCTGGGATTACAGGCGTGAGCCACCATACCGGCCACTTGAGCCCATTTTGTAGGATGGTTTCCCCATTTAGGAAAACAAAAATCATAGACCTCAGGCATATATCTAAGCATGCTGTGTGCCAAGGATTTACAGTTCTCATTGTCTTTACAGGACAAGGGCATGGGGGATGAGGATATACTATGGAGGATGAGCTAAGAGAATGGTAGGGTAAAGCCTTGCACTGATGGCAGCCCTGAATTTCCTGTAAGACTGTCATTCAAGTGCTGACAGAGCCTGCCTATATTATGCCTCATTTTATGTTTTCAAGTGAGACTGGATTTATACTGGAATCCAACCACAAAAGCAAAGCTGGGCAGGTCCCACGGGCTTGAGGGGCAGTGAGGAAGTGCTTTCCTGACCAGTGTGGTGGGCAGGTGCATACCGAGGACAGGGTATTTCTTAGCCTTGGTGCTTTTGCCATATTGGCCACGTGATTTTGTCCTATGCGTCACAGGATGTTTAGCAGCACACCTGGCCCCACTAGATGCCTGTAAATCCCTGCTTCCCCCACAGCTGTGACAACCCAGAATGTTTCCACACATTGCTAAGTGTACCCTGGGAAGAAAAATCTAGGGTTGAGAGGCATCAGTGGACAGGGGCCACTGAGGAGTTTTCAGCAGGTAAGTGATTCTCTAGTGTGAATTATGTGAGCCCTTTGCAATCCCTACCCTCTTAAGGCCTCTGTTTTGACTCTTCTGGCATTTTCACTAAGATTTTTAGATTTTTTTATTGGGGCAGAAAGTTTTCGATTTTTTATTGGGGCAGAAATTCCATGTGCCAGGATTGCTACATGTCATCTACACCAGCATTTTACTGAGGCAGTTGGCATATCAGTGTTTCCATTTACTCACAGCTTGTGAGACAGAGAGTTGTGGATTTGCCTCAGGCCACAGGAGAAGTGGCAGCCTGGCAGAGCCCCTGGGCACTGGCTTTCCACAGCTTCCCAGTGTCTGGAGGTGCAGAGGTCTGAGCAGGAAGGGAAAGGGCTGAAATGCCAGGAACCTCCTTTCTTCACGGAGACCACATGTAAACGTAGGCTTCTTAAAAGCTTCAGGTTTTACCTTCATTTTAAAATCAATTTAGTAATACTTTTCTGTGCTTAATCTGTAATAAGAACATCCTACGCTGCCCTTCTCTCAAAGGGATCTAAAGTTATTTTACTGGCTTTGGGTTTTTAGGTACGTATCCAGGCTCTTTCAGATTGACATACTACCCTTCCCCGTCTACTTGAAATAATCAGGAATGTGGTTATTTTCCCCCTTGAGACTTCAGTGTCGCTCTCCAGTGGTTGCAAAACTTACCTTTCTTCCGCCAGGAGCATACTGTCAAAGTCTATAGAGCCAGCATACAAACGTGTATTCCATTCCTTCCCAACTTCTTTTACTTGGCCCCAACCAAACATTCTAACAGTCTAAAAAAAATTTCAAAAACAGCCAGGCACGGTGGTTCACGCCTGTAATCCCAGCCCTTTGGAAGGCTGATGCAGGCGGATCACCTGATGGTTGGTAGTTTTAGACCAGCCTGGCCAACATGGCAAAACCCCATCTCTACAAAAAGTACAAAAATTAACTGGGCGTGGTAGTAGACACCTGTAATTCCAGCTACGCAGGACTGAGGCAGGAGAATTGCTTGAACATGGGAGGTGGAGTTTGCAGTGAGCTGAGATCGCACCACTGCACTGTAGCCTCAGTGACAGAGTAAGACTCTGTCTCAAAAAAAAAAAAAAAACTGGAGGGGTAGAACCCAGCCCAGCCACCCTTACACCAAGTTTTACCACACACGCTGGCTGTATTCCTCTGCCACGCCTCGCCAGCTCTCTGTGGACAGCACTTTGCCCTGATGACACCACACTGATGTGGCTTCCCTAGATCTTAGTAAAGCCAGCCTGTGTTCTTTCCGACCATCCAGTCAGCATTGCCTGCAGATAGGCAGCTTCCCCTTTCCCTTCCTCTGCTGACAGATGTTGCAGTTGTGGCAGGAAACTAGGGAGTATTAGCACAGCTGATAAAGGCACAGGAAACTAAGACAGCCTTTGTGCTTAACAAAAATAAATTTTTGAAAAGAGAAAAAAGCCTGCTGTGTGTGATGCACTCTGACCCTAGCCCATCCCTTCCTCACGTGAACACTTCTGACACTGGAGTGAATCTTCCCTTAGCCAACTCTCATGTCATTTTGTTATTTTTTGTATTTTAAGATGGAGTTTCACTCTTGTTGCCCAGGCTGGAGTGCAATGTCGTGATCTCAGCTCACTGCAACCTCTGCCTCCCGGGTTCAAGTTATTCTGCCTCAGCCTTCCAAGTAGCTGGGATTACAGGCATGCACCACCATGCCCAGCTAATTTTGTATTTTTAGTAGAGACAGGGTTTCTCCATGTTGGTCTCGAACTCCCGAACTCAGGTGATCTGCCTGCCTCGGCATCCCGAAGTATTGGAATTTCAGGCGTGAGCTAGTGTGCACAGCCAGGTCATTTTCTTTTTCAGTCTGTTCACTAAAGCTCTGTAAAAAAAGGGTCCTAAGCACTCCCAACTATTACCAGACCACCCATGTGAAACGACATTCCTCCCAGCCAATAGAAATGGATAGGACCTGGTAGCAGGGTAAGCATCTGAACTTTGGCGTGTCATTTTATTTCATTTAAGCCTTATGCCCAAGATAGAACCTGTCTTACCTCTAAAGTCAGATAATACCAGCCATTCAGAGAACCATATCTTTGCCTCTCTGTGAATTACGTAATTCCAAAGTGGAGTCGGTGAATTATTTTCTCAGCTTTAACAGGAGTTAACAACAGATTCTCCAGTGCAACGGAAGTCCCTGGAAAATCACTGTTAAGGGTAGACATTCAGAAACTACTGCCAGGTCCTACTTTGTGCAAAATACTATATACCCTTGTATGTTCTGTCAAAAATGCTTACTGGACAACACTTGCATGGGTTTTGTTTTTGGTTTAATTTCTTTGACCCTCATCGTTAGTTTTAGAGGATGTCCTTGGGAGGATCGCAAAGCAGTCTGGTGAGCTGGAGAGCCACGCAGATCGCCTGTATGACTCTATCTTGGCCTCTCTGGACATGCTAGCTGGCTGCACCCTCATCCCTGACAAAAAGCCCATGGCAGCAATGGAGCACCCATGTGAAGGGGTTTAACCTGGTAAGTGAGGAACTCAAGAAGAAAATGCCCAACCCTGCTGTAACAGCTGGCCACTACTTAGAAGCTTGTTGAGCCAAGAACTATTATTGAAACAAATGAGATACAGGAATAAGACAGCCAGTGGTACTAAAAAAGGAGTTGCTGGTCTTCCTGTGGTGATGAAGGCTTCCTGTGGTCCTGTGGTGCTTTCCATTACTGTTCACCCTGCTGCCTGTGGAGAATGAGGGTGCCTCTGTGCTGCCATTTCTATGGCACACTCTTCACCACCACCCCTGCTGCCCCAAGGCAAGAGCAGCACAACTTATCTATATACCTACTTTATTTCTGCACAGGTACACTTTTCCAATATGGGGCCATGACCTGGCAGCCCCTGTTCTGCAGGATCTTCTCCCCAGCTCATTTGGTACTCCATCTCCAAGCATCTCTGACAGCACCAAGTGCACAGAGAAACCCAGAGTTACTGCTAACTTTGTACCACCACCCCTGACCCACACAAAGCATCTCCACCTATCTCCCATACCACTTCCTTCCAGAAAGGCTAGGGGGATGGAGAGGGGTTAACACACCTTGGAGACTTAACAGGTAGTACAGCTTTCTTTTGCTCCCTTAAGAAAGTCAAACAGAATGACAGAAAAGAAAGGGCTAAGACAGCAAGGGTGGGTGGTGTCCACTGCAGAGTTGACACTGCCAGTGTTTTTTGTCCACAATTGGACTGTACTTTCCCTGAAACATCCTGTCCTACAACAACAGGTTTGTAGTGCTTAACTCGTAGATTTTCTAGGTGAGCACCGTAAGTATGTTAAGAGCAGGGAGTCCCTGTATTTTATCAGAGCAACTCTTGAGTAGTCATCTGGTTCTAAAATGAAGTTGCTGTTTCTTTCTCTACAACATTATGCCTGTTACAGATGCTGCTTTTTCCCTTTCAGGCATCCTCTCGGGCAAATGCAACCTGTCAGCCAAACACAGGCTGGTGAGAAAAAAAAACCTTCAAGTCCTTGCAAGAGTCATTCAACACTGAAGTCAAGGGGGAAAACTTCAATATACTAGCTTTAAAATGCCTTTCTCCTCCCTGAATGGAGGGCTGTTGATTTACTATTTTTATTTACAATGAATCCTTCCAAACTAAGGTTTTCCTTTTGGTGCTTCTCCACAAAGAGCGTGTAGCTTTGCAATTTTTGATAAAATAAGACGTCTTGCCTTCCCCTCTATCCCATTAAAAAACAGCAGACAAAGCTCAAACTGTTCCACCTGGTAAGGTCATTTACCAAGGGCTGGTGGAAGGTTCTGAATACTCGATATTCTCAGGCATGTAAGAGGACCCAAGAGACTGAAAAAAGCCAAGGGCTGGCCAGAAACCTTGGGTCTTTTCATAAAAGGAAATTTGGGCTTGTCAATCCGTCTTTGAAGATTCAGGTAGAAAGAAGAGACTTTAACCCTTTGTCTGCAAAAGAAAAAGGATTAAATGACTAACAGATTACTTTGGGAGATTATGACACCTTTTGCCATCTTCAGGGCTGATGTCTTTGGTTTCCTGGCTAACCAGTTTCTGATAAGAAAAGTGTCAGGGACTTGGGGATCTGCAGCCATGCTTTAGCATGGCTGTGGAGCTAATTATCAAGCTTAAGGGCAGGACTCATCCCTTTGGGAGGACTCATCCCTTCACACCTAGTCTCCCTTGGAAGAGCAGTCCAGGCTCAGAGAAGGGAATGGATAGGATGACACAGTACAGTACAGAAACTAAAGCTGTCAATAGTGAAGAAAATGGAAATTCTTTGTTGTTTGTTTTGGCACTGACACATAAGTACTTTGATAGAAAAAACTCGATCAACCATTCGAAGTATCAATTCTATAGCTTTTTGAAGAAAAATGATCAGTTATTGCTGGTAAAACTGCAGAGTCTACAGGAAAGCACTTTTGAAGTTCCGTTTGGGCCATGAATGAACCTTGAAGGAGGAAAGCACAATATAACAATGGAAACTAAAGTCCTATTATTAATGTGACTTTTTTTTGCTTCAGAATTTCTCAGACTTTATAGTCACTGGAAAATAGCCATTAAATTCTTTAAAGATTAGCTCTTCCAACAGTAGCTGCACATAAAATGCAGTATTTCAAGTGCCTGATGCTGCTGCGGTATGCTTTATCATAAATAATGCTTAAGGGCATGATCAAAATTAAAATGTCTTATGACTGCCATATTAATCTTAGTTCCATACACAGTGAGACTTTAAAAGAGAAAAACCACTCTAGCAAATAATTGTCCATTATAAACCTGTATGTAAAACATTCTTAAAAACCTAGAATTGGTTAAAAAGGCAGAGATGTCCGACAGCCTCTTAAATTGATCAGTTTCACCTTCTCTTTGATGTATATTTATAAATAGGAACATGCCCTTCCACTAAGTATGTTACTGAATAGCCCTTATGAAATTAAACCCATTTATTTACTGATATTTGACAGGCATAGAAGTGTATTAGTTAGCATAAAAGTTGGAGATGAAAACCCTACAGAAAGAAACTGGCCAATACTAAACCGAATGCAGAATGTGGCACTGTATTCCCATTCGACCAATAATCAGCTTCAACTGAGAGGCATTTTCACAGAATGTTACACAATACCATTTCCCAAGAAAGTGTTACTTACCTAGAGATGCTCTAAGGTATTTTTGTTCATCCTCTGAATAAGGTGTGACTAAAGGGTGCTAGTTCTGGACCTGGCTGCGAATGCTGCTGAAGAGTATCAACACAACTGTTAATTATACAGCCATGCTTGAAGACTTCCCTTAAAACTCAGGCTGAAATTGTTTCCACCTAGTAAGAAACATGGCCAGGTTAGAGTCAAGTAGCTGAGCTTGCTAATTGCACTGTGGTGCCACACTGGAATAACTTAGTAGTCCCTGAAAATTAATGGGAATTGAATCCATAGGTAAGTGATGATATTCAAAGCTCGATCGGCAGTTTCAAGATCTGGGTTCTTGGAGATCCATGGGTAGCTCAGCAAATGGAAGGTGATGTCAATACAGGGCTATTTTGAAGCTTAGGTGGGAACGGAGCACAAGGTTTGATGTACAATATGCTGGAAAGGCAAGATACAGGCTAAGGGAAATTCAATCCAAGGTCAAAGAATAGGAAATTACTGCTCGGACCATAATGACTATCATTCTGAAAGGATTTCCCAGAGTTTGCAGCTGCTTAGATTTAGAACACTCTTCACTATGTAAACTAATTTATGGCAGCACCTTATATTTAGAAGAAGTGATAATACCCTTTACTCAGTGAACAGATTATTAAAGCCCATAGTAGCCTTGAATTGTTTGTTTGTACTTGAAAATGGGAGTATGAAAGGGGAATATATTTTTTCCAAAACTGTGTTTATTGGCAAATTGTGAGGCATGCTGAACTATGTTGTTGTAAATCCCAATCTTTACTGCCATGGGGGAAAGGATGCTGGAATTTTCCAAATGAAGTCTGTAAATAATACCCATCTTAAGTTCATGTAATGTTTCCGCTAACTCACCAATAAGAAGCTGACGATTTAAACAAATTTTACTGTATAAAACTGAAGTGCATGGTATGGCATCAGAATATCTTGACATTTGTTTTGTGTCATTTAGCTACTTTAGAAAATAGTTTTCTGAACTCTTTACCCCTTTATACTGTATTAAGGCAAAAACAAAACTTTTGAAGCATTAAAGATCTTCACCAAAATAACTATTGGTAACTTCAGGAATTTGTCAGTTGCCTTATGTGAGGATGAATAGATCCACCAAGCACGCCTATAATACAAAGTAAACTATGATTTTTATTGTGAAATTTTCATAGATGGAAAATTGAATATTCTGTCCATTTCATTTTACAGTTATCTTACCACTTATTTTTGTACCATGTATTTCAATTGCCTGTTTAGTGAAAAATAAAAATTAAAAAACCTATTAATTTTTGGCTTGTTTTTAGCTTAAATTTTATCATGAAATTAAGGAGCCCACAACAAAATGTGTTGCCAGCAGCCATATCCCCAGCCGCTGTGTGAAGAACGTTTTGGATGCTACTTCAACCTAACAAACAACCTTTGACCTCAGTCACCTTAAAATGCTAGTGTGGGCAGATTTTTCATTCCTCACCATTAAAAAACAAACAAAACCCCTAGGATCTTGAAGGTCCTATTTAAGAAAATCTTCATACATGCAAAATGTCACGAAAATATACTTCCCTCAATTATCATTACCATCCAGTATTCATGTTTTAATTTTTAGGAATATAATTTCTAAAATTAGAGCAATAAACTTCCTGTGTCCTATCTTAATGCTTAAACCCTCCTCCAACATCAAGTTAAGCAACTGCGGAGGATAAAATAGTGGAATCTGACTGAAAACATGGAAGAAAAACATTAGCACACGTTAGTCTGATCACTTGCCAATTAGGAAAGGTATGCTGCTTTCCACCTTTACCACAGATGCATTCATGAAATATTGATTAATGAAGCCACTTCAAATTGTTTTAGAGAAGGATCAGAGATAATGGGCTAGATAGCATACATTCTAAACTTGTTTTCCATACAGTTTGAGCTCCCTGAACCACTAAAGTTGGTTAAATCCCTACACAGCACAGAAGTCTAAGTCATTTTATTGGGCGTATTATCTAGAAAGCAAATACTGGATGCTGCTCTACAATAGGTCTTGAATCCCTTAGTTGCGCTGTGCACACACAAATGGCTGTGTTGAATATAATGCAAGGCTCTGTTTCCCTTTAACCATAAGAATTAAAACAATATTTATCACCATACAGTTTGATATTACTTCCAATAAGTACAATATTTATTAAACGTATCTTCAGTTGTTTTGTTACATAGTGTGCAACAAATTACAATATTCTGCAGCCACAAATTATATGCAGAGTATGAAGAAACTATTAATCAGATAGTGTAATCTTTCCATTTATAACTCTACAAGGAAGAACTAGCAAATCAGATCTTACATATAACATCTCACTAAACTTTATGCATGGAAAGTGACAGACACTGCTTGTGCTGTTTGATACAAAATGGCTGAACTTCATCTTCAGAAGACTAAACCTGACATCTAAACATGCCAATATAAACATCAAAACAAAATATATTCTAACCAACCACGGGAAACAGTCTGGTATCAGGAAAGCAACAAGGATTACACACATTATTTTATAAACCAGCACACAAAGGTTTAAAACAGTTCTGAAAATGAAGTTAGCTGTCTTGAGTCAAGGGAATAAAAAAAAAGTCAGTATTGACCATTTACAATCTCTGACCTTTGTGGAGACGGTAAGAATCTGTTGTAGTGCAGCTACATACAGTACAATTCAGGCAATTTTGTTTTTTCACTTGGGTTCAGATTGCAAATTCATTGCTGTGAGAAAAGTACGGAGGCAAATTTTAGCAGCAACCTCCGCCTGACTGCTTGACTGGAGTGCTCTGAATTTTAACATTGGACTTCTCAGCACCACCAGCTGTTGCTCCAGGACCCATTCGCTTTTTAATCTCAGCTGCCATCGTCATGAAAGACTGTTCTACATTCGTTGCATTCTTAGCACTGGTTTCCAAAAATGGAATTCCAAGGGAATCAGCAAATTCCTAAGAGAATAATGAGGCACAATTAACACTGAAAAATCTTTTCCAGTAATTCTTAGTACATTTCTATCATCCACAATGGAGCGTGAGGAACTAAGTTCACTGGATCTAAACAGATGCTACACAAATTGTCACAGTCAGAATAGTCTAGTGCACATATTTTATAAAGTTAAGGTGGCTGTGGCCTCAGAATGACTGCATAACCCATACATAATTCAACACCTTCAAATTCAGTATGAAAATTAAACTTGAAACATACCTTTGCTGTTGTGTAGTCTACTACTTTCTTTGTGGTCAGATCACATTTGTTCCCTACCAACAATTTGTTGACATTTTCACTGGCATAACGATCTATTTCCTGCAGCCACTGTTTAACATTATTGAAGGACTCCTAAAAAGACATTTCAAAGTTTGATAATACAGTTCTGGAATAAACTGAAACATCCTTCCTGACCTAACAGACAAATAACAAAAGAGCTAGTGAGACAACGCTAGCTACAAAATAACCACTCCTAAGGAGTGAAGGGATTTTTTTTCTTTTTTGAGACAGTCTCGCTCTGTCACCTAGGCCTGAGTGCAGTGGCACAACCACAGCTCACTGCACCCTTCACCTCCCAAGCTCAAGCCATCCTCCCGCTTCAGCCCTCTGGACAGCTGAGACTACAGGTACATGCCACCATACCTGACTAATTTTTTATTTTTTTGTATAGACAAGGTTTCACTATGTGGCCCAGACTGGTCTCAAACTCCTGAGCTCCAACAGTCGGCCCACCTTGGCCTCACAAAGTGCTATGTATACAGGCGTTAGCCACTGTGACTGGCCATAAACAGATATATTAAAATGACTATAAATATCTAAATGATAACAAGCTAGAATTTACAGGCTAACGATGAAAATATCTTATTTGAAAGGGAAATACAGCTTAAAATTAAACTGCAGCTCAGGCAAACCCAACTGTTTCGGAATATGCAATTTAAATGTACTAAAAAACGTGGTTTTGAAATTCGAAAAAAAAATTTTTTTTGAGACAGAGTCTTGTTGTCATCCAGGCTGGAGTGCAGTGGCATGATCTCGGCTCACTGCAATCTCTGCCTCCTGGGTTCAAGTGATTCTCCTGTCTTAGCCTCCTGAGTAGCTGGGATTACAGGCGGACACCACTACGGCCAGCTAATTTTTGTATTTTTAGTAGAGATGGGGTTTCACCATGTTGGCCAGGCCAGTCTCTTAACTCCTGACGTCAGGTGATCCACCCACCTCGGCCTCCCAAAGTGCTGGGATTACAGGTGTGAGCTACTGCACCCAGCCTGAAATTTGATAAAATTTTGGTTTATGAATAAGATGACCTACTGTTACTAGAGATGTCAAAAGATATTATTAAATAAAGATACTCATTTTCTTTTCCACAGTCATATTTAGAGGAGGAATGTTTTCATTTAAAAATCTTTCATGGTAATATGACTAAATATTTTTGAAACCAGCATCATTTTTTTCTCCTGCAGATATCATCCGCCCAGCACTTCTAATGGCACTGAATCTAAATGTCTACATGTAAGTTATCTCTAATTAACTATGATTTCATATTTGAGATAAGATTTAACATATGCCAAAAGAAAAAGAAATTCCAATTTTGAACATTTATCTTTGTCCTTTTATTGATAGAAAGGACAAGTTTCTAAGTTTCTGATTTAAAACAACAACAAAAAAAAAACTAGTTATGGTCCCTGGACCACATGCTTCACACTGTTCCACATTGTTCCCTCCACTGCCCTGCCTTCTCTCACAGCTAATCTTCAGATACTCTTTCTCATACTAAGACCCTCCTACAGCCTCTCCTATTCAAATCTTTATTTCTGAACCACATCCTCAATAGGCAGAAACCTCCTAATCCCACTTTTGGCCATTTGGATGGACAAATTCTAATTACCAGTCCATATTCCTGTTGATACTTAACATCAAGAACACAGTATAAACCAAGCACCTCACGATATCCCTACAAACTCTTGCATATATGTTAGTGTCTTGGCTATTTGATCAAAGTTATTTAGTTGATAATAAATACAATGGGAATCCCTTGAAAGCAAATATAAAACTAATTACTAATGTTCTATTTATTACAGGAAAACAAATGTCTTTTAAGTGATTCACATTTATATTTGAGAGTGGACAAAAATTTCTGCCATAAAATTAATACTGATGGCTTATTTGTGAAACAAATATTCTGACATTAATAGAATAATGACTTCCTACTTTGTCACTGTAATACAATCTCCTCTTGCAACTTACCTGATCTGTCACATCATACACAACTATGATGCCATGGGCTCCTCTGTAATAACTGGAGGTGATTGTTCGAAATCTTTCCTGGCCTGCTGTGTCCCACTATTACAAAACAATCAAGAAATCCAAACAAATCCATTAAAATAAAGTTGCGGAAAAGTGTAGGAGGGCAAGAAAATAGTTTAGTTTTCATAACTGTGGAGATTATCAGGATGTGATATAGAAACATTAGTCCTCAACTCATACCACTAAATTGCATGGTAATAAGTACCTGAAAGTCCAGAAAAGAAGGCAGTACCTACAATTGAGCTTGCGATGATACTCAAATTACAAGCTGTTGACAGCAGGAACTATGTCATACTTTTCACATTCCCTACCGCCTTTAACACTGTGTTTAGGTATGCCACTGGCCTAAAGCCCTTGAACACAGAACTCTCCCATATAAGACAAACTTACTTGCCAGCACATTCTACCATGATTAAAAGCACTGCAGGGACCTGATTCAGATAGCTACTAGCCAAGACAGAACTTTAGTCATCTCAAGCAGCTGTCTTATTTTCCCCCTCTAAAGCAGGGTCTTATTCTGTCATCCAGGCTGAGTGCAGTGGCATCATCAGAGCTCACTGCAGCCTCAATCTCCCTAGCTCAAGCAATCCTTTCACCTCAGCCTCATGAGTAGCTAAGACTACTGGCACATGCCACCACCACACCTGGCTAAGTTTTTTTTTTTTTTTTTCCCCCCCATAGAGATAGGGTCTTGCTATACTGCCCAGGCTGTTCTGAAATTCCTGGACTCAAGCAATCCTCCTGACTCAAGTCTCCCAAAGTTCTGGCATTACGGGTATAAGCTACAATTCCTGGCCAGGTGTTGTCTTCATCCTAGAGAAAACAATGTAAGGAAGATGATTCCAAATACTTCTATAAAATGTATTTTAAGAGCAATTTACTGCACTTCAACCACTTAGACTCAAACTCCAAAACAAATGCTAACTTCACTGCATTATAGTTCTGGGTTTTAAAAAAGCTGTTGGGGTCGAATGTGGTGGCTCACGCCTGTAATCCCAACACTTTGGGGAACAAAGGCAAGTGGATGATGAGGTCAGGAGTTCAAGACCAGCCTGACCAACATGGTGAAACCTCATCTCTACTAAAAACACAAAAATTAGCCGGGTGTAGTAGCACACACCTGTAATCCCAGCTACTCAGGAGACTGAGGCAGGAGAATCGCTTGAACCCAAAAGGCGGAGGTTGCAGTGAGCCAAGATAGCTCCATTGCACTCCAGCCTGGGCAACAGAGAGACTCTGTCTCAAAAAAAAAAAAAAAGAAAAAACAAAAAAACTGTTAGCCAGGTGCAGTGGCTCATGCCTGTAATCCCAGCACTTTGGGAGGCCAAAGCAGGAGGATCACTTGAGACCAGAAATTGGAGACCAACCTAGGCAACATAGCAAGAACCAGTCTCAACTAAATTTAAAAAATTAGTTGGGCATGGTGGTGCACACCTCTAGTTGCAGCTACTCAAGAGGATTGCTTAAGCCCAGGAGGGTGTGGTTGCAGTGCCACTGCACTCCAGCCTATGGGGACAGAGGGAGACCCTATCTCTTAAAAAACTTAAAACATCTAAAAGCAAACTCAATTTTTAGATGTAAAAAGCCTTGTTTTTGTTTTTTGGTTTTTTTAGAGATGGAGTCTCGCTCTGCCTCCCAGGCTGGACTGCAATGGCTCGATCTCAGCTCACTGCAACCTGACCTGGCAGGTTCAAGCAATTCTCCTGTCTCCGCCTCCCAAGTAGCTAGGATTATAGGCACCTGCCACCAAACCAGGCTAATTTTTGTATTTTTAGTAGAGATAGGGTTTTACCATGTTGGCCTGGCTGATCTTGAACTCTTGACCTCAGGTGATCCGCCTGCCTCAGCCTCCCAAAGTGTTGGGATTACAGGGGTGAGCCACCACACTGGCCGAAGCCTTGGTTTTAAGAAGGGGAATGATCGTTTTGTTGGAGTACTCCTAGGCTGGGTGTGGTGGCTCACCGCTGTAATCCCTGCACTTTGGGAAGCCGAGGCAGGTGGATCACCTGAGGTCAGGAGTTCAAGATCAGCCTGGCCAACATGGTAAAACCCCATCTCTACTAAAAATACAAAAAAATTCACTGGCAGCATTGTGCTGTTTTTAAAAAAAAAAAAAAAAGGAAGAAGAAATACAAATAAAGATTTAAAAAA